GCTTTCAAAGCTTCTTCTTTGGATTTTAGATCGCTTATCCTTTGAATTTAGCTCAACTTTCGTTTCATCGGAGAAGAGAACATTTAGTAAAAAAAATCAGGATAGTCACTTTTATCGAACAGCACTGTATATATATATATATATATATATATATATATATATATATATAGATAGATAAAAAGATTTTTAAAAAAATAGAAACAAAGAAAGATAAATTGAGTATTAAAAACGTTTGTTTTAATCCGATGGTTAACGCAAATTTAATAATGAGAAATTATAATATCTTTTTAAATTTTTAAGCGATTATACTAATAACGGTCATATCAAAAATTATATTAAATTAATTAGACATTTTGAACGCACGCCGTTTACAGTAGCTAAAAATAAACTGTATCTTACTTTATGAATCTAATAAAAAAATTATATACATAATATCTTAAGTGTATTGTTATTACAAAAATTTTCTCTTGACTATATGTTTTTATATATGTATTTGCTTTTTCATTTGGACAGATTGGAAAATAATTTCTTCGTTGAAAAAAAATTTATAAACTTTTTTTTATGTTCAGCACCTTGGAAGGATTGCAAACAATGTAAAGTTCAGTGCAGATTGTACCAAAAATATAATTAATTATATTTTAATTTCAACCCATAAAATATGGGATATAGGTTTTTTTTATTTATTTAATACTTTTGCTATCTCTTGCTGTAGTAAGCACGTGCTTTTTTTTTTATAAAATTCTAAACCAGACGACAAGCCAACGGCTCTTTACGCAACTATGGCCAAGGAAAAAAAAAAGGTGTCACCTCTGTAAATTTCCCTGATTTACCATATCTCTTGACCTGGAAGACGACCGAAAACGTTTTATTGGTGTCCATTGAACTGGGCAAGAGATGAGAGAAAAAAGAAAAAAAATTAATGTTTTTTAAAGCAACTGAAAGCAAGGCGTCGAGTTCTTGTTTTTTTAAAACAATAAAACAAATGCCTTTTAGTTCAAAAGAATAAAAATACTAGAAATATTTTTAAATAAAAACTTATTCATTTGCACATGTCCGACATTTTCTTTTTAGAAATTTCATTCGACTATGAAAATAAATATGGATGAGGGTTCAAATATGAATTCTCGATTGTATTAAAATTTGAACAATTGGTATTTAATTTAGTTTATTTTTTTTTCATTTTAAAGGGATTTTTATTTTTGCATCTATAGTCAATCAATGGTTATCGAATCATTTGTATTATGTTCCAAATCATTTATCCAGAAAGCAAATCTGTCTTTCTTTTTTCCAAACAAAATTTATATTGAAAATTCATTGTTCTATATATCTATCTAAATATCTATTGGGCAAATATCAGTTATCTAAGAATCTTTCTCCACGCTATTTCCTATCTATCTATCTATCTATCTATCTATCTATCTTCTTATCTATCTATTTTATCTCCATAACAAATCTATCTATCTATTGAATATATATCTATGAATTTTATTATATATATATATATATATATATATATATATATATATATATATATATATATATATATATATATTGGACTTTCATACCTTGAAATGGTGGAATAATGGATATTAATTTAGGATAAGAAATCGGAGAGCAATTGATTTTCGAATTCACTTTTAAAAAAAAAAAAAATTTATTTTTGTGAAAATATTTTTCAAACATGGGTCTGTATTCATAGCAAAAAAATCAATGATTCCAAAGAAAATTTTCATTTTTATAATCAAATATATTTTGCGGGTGTCGGGCTGTCGGTTTCCTGGGAAAATCATTCATCTTGGCCCTCATACATTTATTTTGTTTTAAAAGGTAAGTAATATTTTATTCAATATATATATATATATATATATATATATATATATATATATATAATATATAAATTTTTTTCTCTGGCGTTATTTCGATTTCATTTCATTTATATATGTTCTGTTTTCGCAAACATATTTTATATATATATAATCCTACTGAGCCAGAGAATACCTACTATTGAAAGAAAAAACATTAATGGACTTTTCAAGAAACTATAAAAAAACTTCAGGGTAAACTGGCAGTTTAATAAAAGACCCATTTAAATGAAACCTAGGTATAGGCATTTTTTCAAAATCTCTGGCTAATATAGGTTTTTATACTTGTATTCTATTTAGTAATATTAAATTCTATATAGGTTTTTTTTTTTACTTCAATCGATTCGGTTTTTTTCCTTTTGGCAGACATTACAACAATGGTCGGAATTGGAATCAATTTTCTATTCCCTTCATTACTTTAATTTCACTGAAACAGCGTCTATCTGGCAGTTAACACTCATCTACCGGTTTTTGAACAGGAGTAGAGGTTTATCCATTTTTTCTTGTTTAGGATTTTTTGCGCAATTTTTCAACATTTATTTCTTCCCCGTCACTTACACTCTTCAAAAATTCTACTGCAATCTTAATCGCCATTCTCTGTATTTTTAAAAAAAATTCTTTTATTTTCCTTCTCATCT